ATGCATTAAGGCAGACATAAATTACAAGCAATATTTTTATGCGCATGACTAATTTGCGAATCGGATATATATGTATATATATGCACATGTATTCATGTATGCGGCTGAGCTTTTGATGCTGCGGCTGAAAACTTGCGGCATTCATATTTTATTAGCCACAAGTCAGTAAGTTTTGGTCATTGCTCAGCGTACTCTAAACAATTTGTTAATCAAAGAGGGCCAGGCCAGGACATCACACACACACACACACACACACATACAGGAAGTCAAGACTGAGCGAGACTTCTTTACACACGAACACATGTATAATTTATGTGTCATGTATGTGTGACAAATTGTGCCAGGGGCCAAGTTTTGATGCTGGTTTCTTACAGTTATTGTTGTTGTTGCTGTTGCTGTTTGCTGTTGTTGTTTCCTGTGTTATGCTTGTCAGGGACAACGTCTCCTCGCTAGAAAATAGCTCAAGCATAGCGTCTGTGTCTCTGCCTCATTCTCCTGCCTCGTCGCCGTCGCCGTCGCCGTCGCAACAATCCCAAAGTCTGGTGTCCCAAAAAGTGTTACAAATTTTACGGCATTTTCTTTTGCATTTGGCATCGGTTTAAAGAGAGCCCAAGCAAAAGCTAACAGCTTCTGGCCAAAGCGCAAGCAGAAAAAAAGGTCATCAAATCGCTCGAGGTTAGATGACAGCCAATGCAAAAGGCGTACAGAAGCAGGAGGCGTGGCAAGGCGTTCATTCGGTTTCAAAGGAAGTAGTAAAAAGTGTTTTCTTTCTTTTTCCTTTTTTCTTCTTCTTTTCAGTTTGCTACTTTTACGATTTTGGGTTGAACATTCACAAAAAGAACAAGATATACACGCCGAAGAAGAAGAAGATGACACTAATGTCGCTCATCTTTTATTAATATTTCTTAGAGATTTTTTTTTATGGGATTGCCGCAGGCCTCATATTATTCCCGTGACATGTTTTCTTGTCCCCAACGAGCAGTTGAGTGGCCAGCCGCAGATCGCTTAAATTTTTCATCAATTTCATCAATAGCTGTTTGCAGGCTTTAAATTTTTAATAGTTTGGTTTTCTGCCATTTTGTGCCATTTTGAAAGTGTATATCAAAAGAGCAATAAATTAGCAGATATGCCAAGAATAATTATGATAATATTAATAGTAATAATAATAATTATTATGACATAATATATAATATAATAATAATTCAATTTGAATGCAAGTCTTCACCACCAGTCTGTTCCACTATCTTCAACCCGAATTTCCCCAAATTTAGCATAATCCATTTTATTGATTTCTGCAAAACCATTTCGTCGCTCTTCCATTTTCCATTTTTTGTGCGTGATATGCTCGAAAGTGCTTAAGCGGAAATTGTTTTTTAATGTGATTGGTGGTCTTAAACTATTTAGCATGTGGCAACCTCCATGTTTGTGTGTGTTTGGGTGTGTGTCTGTGTGCGTGTACGTGTTGCAAAACGAGCAGTCACCGGTAAACTGTCAGCTATTTATCAATGGAAAATCTATAGGGGTTCAATCCTTATTTTTTGCAACTCTCTCTCCCTAGAAGCTTTAATGGTTTAGTGTGTCGTTAAGGGAAGCAGCAAAAAAAAATGTGAAGAAAATATAGTATCAAATGATTTTCACAGCAAAATGCGTGACATGCGATAAAACTGCACAGGTAGGTGATACTCATACATACACACACACAAACACACACACAAATTCATACACACACACACAGGCACTCACACACATTCATGTCAATGTATACGTATATTCAATTGCCCGCTTACATGCTAAACAGAGTTGTTTGATGCGCCCTTCTTCACTGTTGCTGTCCGAATCGCTTTACTAAACATCCGCTGCAATGTTTTGACATTCCGGATTACAATAAAATCGCTTTTATTTGTTTGCATGACCGACCGACTGACGAACTGAACGACTGACTGACTGTTGGACTGATGGATGGGTGGCATGATATGTTGACAGAACGCCTGCCAGATACGTGGCAAAGGGCAAATGAAACTATGAATGTCCATGGCATTCATTAGTCGCCCACAGCACAAGTGGCTTTCATCACATGTCAACCTGCAATTTAACCTCTTTATTGATTATGTCATTCAACAACCCTGGCCCCCATTCTCTCCCTTTCTCTCTTTCTCTATCTCTCTTTCTCTCTACTACTACTAGACTACTACTAATACTAGAGAGAGAGAGAGAGATAATCTCTCTTTCTCGGTCTGCTAGCATCTATTTTCACACATAATTTGAACCGTGTGAGGGACATTTACATGCAAATCATTATAGCTGATTGCCTTGTGTGTGCTCTTGCATTATTATAGGTATTTGGGATTGGGGCTGAAGTTGTAAGATGACAAATATTGAATAACCACTGCAAAGTTGACATAATTCTAACTTTAACTTAATTCGCTTCGAACATACAAATTTTATAATGAATATTCATCTTTTTTTTAAATTTTGGACATTAAAATTAACAAAAGCACAAGAAAATTGTTGAAAACTGTTGCTTGCTTTGGATAGTTGCTTTATGCTGTTAAATTTGGACACATTTCAATTTATTGCCAAAGGAAAATTACAAAGATGCTTTGTAAGTTCTCATCAAATTTAGTTTAGCCAAAAGTTCTTAAGTGGCTCGTTTTCTAATACAAATATATATTGCAAGTTGCTTGTGGAGCAGAAAATATATGTGTTCCAAATTCAATAGTTTGGCTTTATTGTATTCTATATAAGGATGTAAATATTTATTCAGGAACTTTTACTACTTGCCCATATTTGCTTTACTTTATTTAATTTGCACAGCGTCATAGTGAATATTTATTTTTGCCTTGTATTTCATTTTGTTAAGTGAAAATTATTAATTTTTACACATGGCTCACAGCAGCACATCAAATTTAGCACAATTTGCACAGTCATAAACTTAGGCAAATAATGCCCCAAGCCCAAACCCCAAAAAAAAAATAAAAATCGAAAGTAAATTGCAGTGTGTAAACGTCTACGGCAGCTTTTCAGCTTTTACCAACTCCATTTGCCATCAGCATCAAGCCAAAGCATCATGATTATCGTCATGCTCAGCTCAGCAGAGAGGAATCAGGCAACAGCAGCAGCATCAGCATCAGCATTCGCATTTGGCCAGGCATTATAATTATGTTAAGAAGTGTATGCGCTTTTTACACAAAAATAAAAAAAAACGAATAATAAAAATAAAACTCAACACAAAAATGTATCCTGAGTTTACCTTTTTGTTCCAGTGGCTGGGCCTGTTTATGACAGCAGACACACACACCTTGCTGTGTGTGTGTGTGTGTGTATGTGTACTCAACAAGCAACACTTGCAAGTTTTACGATTTTCAAATGATGTACGTACAAATTCATAGAATTTTATATTTTACAGCGCCCAAAAGTATGCAGCAGCGCAGTACAAACCAGTGTGTGCCAGCACGTGTGTGTGTATGTGTGTGGGTGTATGTGTGTGTGTGTGTGTAACAGTTTTTAGTTGCTTAGTGTGCGTTGCATGTGTGTGCGTGTTTGTGTTTGTAATTTTTCATTATTTGCCACACGCTCAGCGCGCAGTTTCCGCGTCGCATTCATCATATTTTTCCGTTGAAACTTTAGCCTGCCCATTGGGGCAAGTAAACACAAATACAGTTAGACGTCAGTTCATATATCATGTGGCATTCCGCTTTATGGTTGCCGCAAGGCACATGATATAAGCAATTAGAACTGTGCACAGTGTTTAATGCAAATTGGTTTTCGCCCGCATGATAAATTGGCAATGTTACTTTGCATTTGGCATCTGCATTTTTAGATTATTGCCCAACACAAAAACAATATAAAACAGAAAATTCCATCAAGCAACATGACAAGCTCATTATAATCGGAATGTGGAATGTTTGCCGAGAAAGCCCAGAAACTTTTTAATTTAGTTTGGAAAAGAAAATAATAGACCGGAATCATCATCAAGCAACAGCAGCAGGTGTGTTTGTGTTTGTGTGCGTTGGGATACCAAATGTATGCATGTGATTTGGCAAAAAGTTTTTGTTGCCTACTTTTGTGCGCACTCACTCACACTAAATGCAAATTTTGTAATTTGATTTTGTGCTTGCGTTGCTACCTTTTTCGTTGTTGTCGTTTCCTCGTTACCTTTTCTTTAAGCACCCTGTAGCAATCAAATTAGTGTAATAGGGTATGATATGGTTATGCAATTGTAATGATTAACTTCTCAGCCCATGCCTTAGATTAAATTTAAAATAATTTATGAAAGCTCTGGAAGACCATCGAGAACGAAGATAAAAAGGTAAAATGAGATTCTGTCAACTTGCAGGCAACAAACAGTCTACCCTATATACATTTTCAACAAGCAAACAAAAAAAATGTTTTTGATTTGTTCAGCAGACCCTCTTCGGCATTCTTACAACCGCAAAAATTAATCAAGCAAAAAACATATTTTTACGCAACAGCGCCTTAGAACACGCAATACTCGAAATACCTCTTTGGAAATTGTTCTAAATTGAATTTATGCATTTTCTTTTCGCGCATACCTAAACACATTTTCTTATGCTGCGCCCCCAAGGCGAGCAAAACAGCAGGCACTTATTGAATTTTATAAGGCCGTAAAAGAAGTCTGTTCAATTTCATAAATTGGACAACAATTGCCCCTACAGATATGAGGGCGCGAAGGAAATCGGTCCAGCTTATTGGCCCTAATTACCGTTAAGTTGATGCTGCTAATGGGGCTTGAAAATCGAAGAGCTGCACTAATTTGGCAGACTTCGTTAGTTTTCATTAGTCTACTAATGAAATGAGGCAAAACTAAGTAAGCCTGAGGCTTATCGACACGCGCACGCAATCGAATTGATTTGGAATGCCAACCAAGTATTGTTTGAGTCGTAGCAGGTTTAGAAAATGTTATCTGTAGTACAGCGTACAATTTAAATTACTTTTGGCTGCCATCCGAAAAATAATAGTCATAAAATTCAATATACTGGTTAAGGAAAATTGAAATAAATCTAAAAAAAAAATATAAGTAAAAGACAAATCAGACAAATTCAATCGTTCATAAAAGATCAGCAAGAAAACAATCCTTTCTTAGTGCATTTTCCGGCATTCTTCAATAGTTTTTGATTTGATGTCCATACAGAATCTCAACTCGCGCGATCCATTCGCAGATGCCATTAGAGGACCAGATGATGATATACAGGACGGCCTTGTCCATATACGTATCCAGCAGCGCAACGGGCGCAAGACTTTAACCACAATTCAGGGATTGTCGGCTGAATACGATCTCAAGAAGATCGTTCGCTCCTGCAAAAAGGAATTTGCATGCAACGGCACTGTCATCGAGCATCCCGAATACGGTGAGGTTTTGCAATTACAGGGTGATCAACGCGAGAACATTTGCCAATGGCTAACTAAAGCTGGCCTGGCCAAGGCCGATCGCCTCAAGGTACATGGATTCTGAGCACAGGGCACAAGCAGCAAATCAAAGCCGATCGATGAGATTATAGCAACAAAAATACTAGCTTACGCAATTGTTTCAAAATAAGTTTAATAATGCACAGCTTCTAGTTAATTATCACATATTAAAAGTAGTTTCCAATTTTAGCAGTACTTAAATTTGACAAGAATTAATTTTTGGTCTCTTCGAGGTTTTTAAAAGCGGCAACTTGCAAATTTTCAGAACCCAATTTATAAAATGGAAAGGTAAATCAGAGTTAAATTTTGTTGCTAGGCTGCAACTAAGTATTTTCATACACTTGATGAAATATTCAATTATATTCAATTTAGTGCACATTTAAAAATGTCAGAGCGCGAGGAATTAATAAAATCTGGTTTGAAACGCGGTTTTTAGCGTTGACAGCAGCTTGAACCATTGATTGATGATTTTCAGCTTGATAAAATTACTCTCCAAAAAAAGCTCCAATAGGGACAGGTGAAAACTTTACAGAGTCATAACTTGGGCAATTCTGAGAAATTTTTAAAGCACGGTTTGATTATATTTTAAGTTGAAAACGTGACCTCAACACATGTATAAGCTTGTCAAAAGTAATCAGATTTTCAAAAAATCAGACAATTTCAATCTTGGTTTGGTCTCTTGATTAATTCTACATTTAAAGTTGGAGAGGCGTATCCGTCTCAAAATGAATGTTAAAATTATAGCCTCGAAAAGTGATTGTAGGTGAAAAAGTTTCACAGTCTTATCTTGAAATCTATTCATTTTGGGATTCACTTTCTATTGCCACTACACCTTAATGACCCCTTGAAAGCATCTTAGTTATAATAATAATGTTTGATTAACTTTTAATTGCCTTGATATAATTCAAAATGTTCTTGTACTCACCTTTGCTAATGGTTACACAAGCCTGCAAGAATTGAAGAAAATTATTATTTAATTATGAAATAATTAATTGCACATGGAAAGACTTGAGCTAACTTTAATGAGAGCCACATTTACGCACTCAGAAGCATTCATGAACACACTCATGAAGATGCTCGAGTACGCAGATTCATGGCCACTTTGTTTATGGCAAACCCAAAGTCAAAGCCAAGAGCGACACTTGGCCAACTTTTAGTTAACCAAGTGACATTTCTATGAAGAAGCGTAACAAAATACCCACGCCCACCTTTCAGCCTCCCCTTTCGCCTTGGCTGTGCATCTGAAATGTTGCCTTGAATGCAGATAGAAGCAGATGGGAGACAAGTAAGCTAGCTGAAGGGACAGCAAATATTTAAAGTGCCAAAAGGTCAGTTGAACAAGCTATGAAAAATCATAAATTTCCATGGGAGAAAAAATGTCCCTCACGTGATAAAAATAAAGTGAAAATATGAAAAAATATGTTTGCAACATTTTTCTGGTTTCTTTTGTGGATGCCATTTTGGCTCTGTAATATAAATTTGTTTTGTGGTTGCCATTCATCATGGCCAACTGCTGAAATTAGCACAGCCAACGTCGGTTTCTGTTAGTCTTTTGTTATTAGCGGGGGCGTGACACCAAAAAGGGGGCGTGGCTAAGCAAATAGCTACCGTCAACGGAGTGACAGTTAAAGTAAATACCCAAAAGGCTGACGAACCTTTTAGCATCCATGACATTGGGGCGTGTGGGCGTGTCAGCTCAAGGATTTACAAGCTTATTTGTAGAGTTAAGTAATGTTTTAAGAGTCAGTGTGAAAAATGCGCAAATTGTAATTGCATTCGAATGCAAAAAAATATTTCATTAAAAATTATATAGCTGAGATGCAGAAACTATGATGAAGATGAGGCCAAAGATGAGACATTAAGCACCTCCGTTGGACTCTGCTTGTTGGGGGCGGCTTTGCTTGCAAAATTAAATTATGCAGCAACTTCTTCGAGGCCTGCAGTCTGCCCAGACAGCCAGGCTAAAATCATGCCAAGCTGTGCTTACTGCTTTTGCAGCACTGAGTTAATCAGTTTTGCCAGCTTGTTCTTGAGTGCCAACATAAGCAGCAGCAGCAGCAGCAGCAACAGCAGCAGCAGCAACAGCAACAGCAACAGCAGCAGCAGGAAGCAAGCAGCAGGCAACGGAAAATGTTGCTCTATACCCGTTCTTAAGATGAATGCCAGCCAATTTCATGCACTGCAATCATTTACAAAAAGTTTCAGCTGCTGCTCTTGTTTGCTAGTTAGACACGTTCTTGCCACACCGTTTTCAGGTGAGGCAAGCTTCTGTTGCACCTTAAAACGTGGACAAAATTTGCAATAAACTGCGCTTAAAGAGCTTGTGGAAGCACTGTGTGGGAAATGCCACGTGTAGCAACACTAGCAAATTAAACGGGCTACAAACGAAGACTATTGCTGTTATGCAATTAAGCCAACTCAGATTTTACAAGCAAGCGAAATTACAAATTGTGCTAATGAAGACTACACTTATGTGGAATGGCTTAATTTTGTGCGTCAATGTTATTGCCATATGATTCTAATTTGTCTGAGAAATGTCTCTGAATAAAACAAACCATTTCAGATAATTTTATAGGCATCCTATCAGCTAAAGTTTAAAGTAGCTTAAGATATTGACTAGTTTGCAAAAATAAGTGAACAGAGGCAGCTATTAATGCAGCACTAAACAATATTTAAATTAAACAAAACTCTTTAATAAACTGTATCTTCTTTAATCTGGAGATTATTGGGGATAAGCTCTTAGTGTTCATCATAAAATACATTTGTTTTCGTATTATTTATGCACTCTGGATTCGAATGCTGATTAAAAAAAACTTCTACAATTTAATCAAAGTCAGTGCAAACATATAACTTTAATTAAACAATTTGTAACACGGATAAAATACGTTAAAGTCAAGACTTTCTACTTGAAATATTATCCAATAAATCAAGTTACACAATCACTTTCACTACTGGCAAATGCTGAAATTTAAATAAATTTATTCCGCAACAAATTCATAATACGACAAAGAAGAATAATAAATTTGTTACCTAATTTATCATCCTGTTGCAATGCAATTTTTTATACGACTTACAACTCAATTGCCTTTGGCAGCGCATTGCTCAAAAGTTTTTATTTTATTCTCTTCTTTTTGGTTGTTGCAATTTTTATAAGCACAAAGAAATGGACACATAACAGGAATGAGATTCTGGGTCAACGAATAAACTACAAAGCTTAACTGTATTAGAGGCAAAGAACTATCTGACACACTGTGGTAAGGTGCTTATTCAATTTTCGACTATAAATCAAAGCCCACTTCAAAGAGTCAACAATTACGAAACAATTAAATTGTCACATTTAACGGCATAAGAGCAAACTTGGCCAATGGACAGTTTTCCAAAGTGAGTGCGAAAAAAAAAGATATATATATATAGATGTGTGTGTGTGTGTGTAAAACAAAAACAACGAAGACCAACAAAATCAATGAAGTGCTGTCGGCTGTCCTTTGTTTCAATTTGGCCCCACAGTCCACTTCCGCTTTAGCGGACGTAAAGGAAATGGAAAAAGTGCACAAGTTGAACATAATACGAATAACGTTGGGCAGCGAAATTGAATAGAATTGGTAGCAAATGCTGCTGCCGGCCGTCAAGGCCAAATGGCCAACAAATCGAGCTGAGGACTCAACGTCTGTTTCCATTATTTATGTGCTGCAAATTAAAGCCAGAAGGGAGAAGGGAGCTTGACCAAAAAGGGCGAGTCAGACCAAGTCAAGTGTCAGCATAAATGAAATTTCCCACCGCAAACTTCCGGCATCACATTGTGCAGTCCTGGCTGCTTGTTAACAATGCATCGCACACATACACATACACAGTGAGAAAAAAGGGGGCCAACGCTGACTGAACTTTAAGCGGTTTCACTTTCGCTACCATCGACACACTTCGCTGGCCATAAAGTGCAACAAACGTGAACATTGCAAAAGCCAAAGGGCGAGAACGAGCGAGAGAGGGAGAAAGAGAGAGAGAGAGAGAGAGGGGGAAAAAAGGTTTTGAGCATATTCAATGTGCATACAATTCGAATGCAACGTCACTTCCGGTTCCGTCAGATACCCTACACGCAGAACTCGCATTTCCTCAATAACTTACCTGATAGTTTCCTTATATATTTACCTCACTTTTGCAGAAATCATATCTCTATAGACAATTTCTGCTCAAAAAGGTTGAACTTAAAGTTCATCAACTTCAGTTTAAGAATTTATCTAGGGCAACATGAATTCAAACCCGATTTGCATAGAACAATTTCGCTTTCATCATTCACGCTTGTGAATAGAAATACGTTACTCGTTTACATCAGTAAAGAAATCGTTTGTCAAAAATCATTCAGTCAGCACAAAATATTTTTAAATACAGGCATATCATATTTTGATCATTAAAAACTCAAATGCCAGAGTATATCAGTTGCGGCTGTCAAGGCGAGCATTTTTCTCATTCGGTTCCAAAAAGCAATTTTGTGGCCGCACACAAATGAGCCGAATCATTTTAATTTTATACGTTCTTTTGATGCTGTTTTATTTTTTGGCGAATTTTGTAGGTGTGTGAATAGTTAAATCATGCGAAGAGCGGAAGGCGGAAGGCGGAAGGAGGAAGGAACTGCCGCAGGGTAGATAAAAAATCGAGTGCATTAAAAAAAACAACAAAAAAAAAGAGCAAATAACAAGAACAACAATTTGCACAAAGTTCAAGTGAAGCGTAGAATTCGTTTGAGTTGAACTCGAGGGCGCTTTTTGCGCTTTGCTAACTTTTTTTAATGAACTTGTTGATTTTGCGTGTGTTTTTTGCGCTTTTTGTTGCAACTGGTTGTTGCTGTTGTTGTTGTTGTCCGTTCGTCTGTCAACGCATTTGCTCAAGTGCAACGAATTGTGGGAATTCTGCGTGCAATTCAGTTGTGAACTCGAACATTTGGCACTTCATTAACTATTGAACCACAAATGGCATTAATTGCAAAAGTTAATTTAAATTCAATACTATTTTTCTTTCGGCTGCAATCGCTTAAATAATTATTTTTAATTTGAATTTAATATACTTTTAAAAACTATTTATAATATTTCGTAATTAATTCGATATATTTCAAGTGCTTTGTAACTCATTTATTTGGATTGGATTGGGTTAGATGAATTAATGAAATTGAACACACATTTTGTAAAGCTGATGAAAACCTTAAACAAAATTGTTAATTATTTGGATGAGTTAGGCTAATGAGTCTGATGGACATATAAGCTGAAAGCAGATCCTTTGCCAGACTGCTCCGATATTCAGCGAAAGAAATATGTTTACCCTTGAACAAAAGTCTGCTTTTTGCAACCACATCAATACCTCAACACGAAAATCCTTTAAAATTCGACACCAGCTACAGCCCCATCTGAAATTAAAAACATTTTCCTTATCACGTTGTGTGGCATACGCTGAGTCAGTCGCCTTTGTTAAAAGCTGTCAGTTAAATATGCAGCCAACTTTTCGTCATAAATTTCACAGGAGCCGACAAACATCACGCTGCTGAATTATTAAATGAAATTTAATTAAAACTGTCTAACTAAGTCATCAAAACTGCTGACGACCTTGACTGCCAGCACAGACTAATAAATCAGGTGCGCGTGCTAAAGTAACTGATATCTCAGCAAGAGGGGCTACTCCAAGCTGCGGGGCTGCAATCCAATCCGTTAACTTGTAAAGTTGGTAACAAAAACACATGCTCAACGTGGCGTAAAACTGGCGAACATTCCAAACACTAACCAAATACGAGAAACCAAAAACAAAATGCAGCAATTAATGTCATCAGTTACTGCAAATATGGCAGCAGCAGCCGGTTAAACAATGGCCTGAGGTGGTTAACAATGACAGACAATGCTGCAGGTTGCAAGCTGCTTCAACGGTCACTCACACTTCTGTATCTGTATTTGGTTAGTATAACTATGTGTTCCGGCTGCGGGTGATTGTTATCCGTATTTACATGTTGTTTGTCACGCTCTCTGCCGCTGGACGTGACAATAAATAAACAGCGACAAGCAGCAAACCAACAGCAACCAGCAGCAGCAACAAGAACAGTTTACAAGGTAAATGCAACAACATAACTTTCTAGTCTCTTTTGACTAATTGACATAGAAATGGTGCAGCAGCAGCCGCAGCCGCAGCAGCAGCAGTTGGTTGCAACTATGCGAAACAAGCGTGCAAACAGTGAATGAAGATATGCCACAATCTGGCAAATTGGAGTGCTTCAGTGTTCCCAGGTGACATGCCAAGTTAAATATAACTAAAACCAATGAATGTATACAGTTAGCCAGGATATTTAGGGTGAAATTGCGCGGCTTGTGGCTTGAGTTTAGAACAAATGTAACTTAGTCTGATTAAAATGAAATTTAATAAAATGAAATTAACTCAAGAGATCGATAGTAATCATTATATTTAACAGCTAACAGACTTTCAACAATTCTTGGAATTATCCCAACGAGAACATTAAAAAGTTCGTAATTGGATTTACTGAGAAAAGCAATTAAAAACAAGACAGAGTGGTTTTCTCTGGCACTTCAAAAATTAAATACCCTACCAGACCTGAGTCAGACTGCTAAAAAGTATAGTAAAATATTAATTTAAAAAAAAATACCGATCATTGGATCCCATTCTTAATTATTTGTCAAAATATTAGAAGCATAAAATAATTGATTAACACGATGAAATTATGAGGGTATAAGGAAACCATTACAAAGTTATTAACCTTTTGTCATGGTTGACACCTGAGAAATGAAACTTTTTTCGGTAGCTCTACTTATGACTGGAATTGATGGCATTTTTCACAAGTAAATCGAGAATTTTCGGCAGATTAAGTGAATGCATAAGCGAGTTACTCATTTGATTATCATGAAGTTAGCAATGTGAACAAACTAAAGCATAATAAAAAGCTGACACCAAACCATATAGTTTTGGTATAGTACTCAATGCAGGTGCATTTAGATGACAATAAAAGTTGAACAAAAACACAACGTGTGACCTAAGTGGAAAAGTGAGATTCCCCGGATAAATAGCAGTTACGTTGTTTGTCAATTACGAATGTGAGTTTTGTGGAAATACGTGTGTGGTGTGCGTCCGCAAACCGTAAATGACCGAAAATTGTGTCACATTTCGTAGAAAATGCGAGAGGGCTCTCTGCACTAATTAAGTTAAAACCTTAGCATTTACCTTGTGAGGACACTCGGTATGTTAATAGCAAACTCTTGTTGCCCAAGGCTATGTGCGGCACATAAAAATCTCATATGTCAACTGCAGGCTGTTTTGCCAGCACTCACGCTCTCGTTTTCTCTCATTAAGCTCTTAACCTCGTTTGAAATATACACACACTCACACACACACACAGAGACACACACAAATAGAGTGTAGAAGGCAGGCAGGCAGGAAGGATATACTACTTGTGAGCGCTTTATTACCAATGTCGACAGGCTTTGGCGTCTCTTTTTGTTTTCTGCAGCAAGTTCAATGAGTTTTCCCATCACATATACACTTGAACACTCTGCTTTTTGTGCCAGCTTCAAGCTTCAACTTGTTGGGAATTATGAATGTGTTGCAATTGCGAAATTCTTTTGCTGGTTTTTTTTTTTGCGTTTCAATTTCTTTAACTGCCTTTTGCCGGGCTCCTTTACATTTCCTTGACTTGAATGAATGAAATCAAATTAATTAAGCAGCAGCACATATCCACACAAATACCCACCCATTCACTCAAATATATATATATATATATATTTGTACAGAGGAAGCCAGCGCCAGGATTCACGCCCGTTTCCTTATGCACATGCGTGAAACATTCTTTTCATAATTTATTTTGCTTGCTTCTTGCGCCTCGTTACGTCCTTGCCATTCATTTTATCTGGCCCCCTTTTTATCATTATCAACTTCATCAGTTTGGCAGGCAAGCAGCCAGCAAGCCAGCCAGCCAGCCAGCCAGGCTAACAAGCAGGCAGGCTGGCAGCCAAGTCCTTGCTAGTCCTTCTTCCTCTGCTGCTATTGCTGTTGCTGCTGCTGCACTGTAGTTTATTTCTTGTGGCATACTTATGTGCATATGTCTCCTGGTGTTATGTATAGGCGCACTCATAATTTGATTTCCCATACACAACTTTGATTAACGATATCGTCACAAACACAAAACACAAACACAAACACGAAACACACACACAAAACACACACACACACACAAACACACATACAAAACACACACTGACAAAATTGGTTGCCTGCAGCTGTTTTTTGTTGTTGTTGTGCGTTGCTGTATTGAATTTCATTTCAGGAGTATTTATTCATTGGGACTGCTTTTGGCCTTAAGCTATGGTCAGCAGATTGTTGAACAAGCTTTGCATTCTTTTGCCCATTCATACAGCATAAACAGGAAACACAGAAATACACATACATCCTACGGCATTTATTTTGAAACCCTATGAACTAATGCCAACTATTAATAAATCAATAACAACAACCAAAACACACTGTAGTTCCGCAACAAAAGCTATGCTTCTGCAATAGTCCATTTGTTATGGCATTTTAAGCAAATATTTGCACACTCCATTGCTCAAAGTTAGCACAGAAACTTTCCTTATCCACCAATTTAAATTAATTTTTGAACAAACTTTCATTTTCTTTCTATGTGTTATATTTTAAATAAATTTATTAAAAATAAGGTTTTGCAACTGATTTTATTTTATTTAATTTAATGACATGTTTTTAACTGGCAAAGTTCCAATCAATGTCAATGGCATTGTAAGGAGTTAAACTTACCTTTGGTTGAGTTTATTTTGGCCACAAGCTACTTGGTACGTAAAATTCTGTAACGACAAGAATTGGGATTTAAAATGAATTAATTATGTTAGATTAAGAATTAGCTGTTGACGAAAACTTAATCATAAAAAACTTGTACAGCTAATTAAACAAGCAGCAATTCAATTAACTAGGGAGCACGGCCCAAGATTCTGTGTGTCACCAGTGTGCACAGGTGTGCTAATAAGGAGCATGACACACACACACACAAAAACAGACACACAACCACATTTATATATATACACAGAGAGATACACAGCTAAGCCACAAAATCAGAAATGTTAATTAAAATCACTGAGCGTTGAGCATATTAAACAGCCAGGAAATCAGTTGGGAATGAAATCCCTTAGCCACATCCAAGGAATGAGGCCAAGGAGAAGATTAATGTATTCCCATACACCGTGTTTACAGTTATACAGAAGCAAAGTAAATTAATTTGGGTCTAAATTATGACACTGTCAGCTGAGTTCAGCAAGAGAGACAAGTATTTTGTTACTTTCTTAAATAAAAATGTAATTGGGTTTGGTAGCTGCTGACGTTCGGTTAGAAGGGAGGCAGCAAGATTAGAGCCCCGTTCTTTTGACCACAAAGTAAGGTAGAATGTCGAAGCATTTGTAGCTTTGAATGAATATATGCATGAATAATATTTAACAAAAGAAAACAAAAACTTTATTTAATGGAAGAGGAAAAATTTGTATTGTGAATGTTGCTTCAAAGCAACATTTTATCTAACTATTGAAACTCATTTGGATGAATTAGAAATAACGCATGAGTGAGCCAGTTTATCTCTATGGAATATAATAATGCGATCAAATACTTTAAGGTGCATAATACGCTCTATCTACTGAATTCAAACTATTATGTAGAAAATTACATTTATTTTTTTCTTTGTAATTTTCTTCTTTAAATTGCAAATGTTGCTCCCAAGCAAAATAAAATTCTCCAGGATATATAGCGGAAGGAACTTTAAAATTGATGAGCCAAGCGGAGCGTATGACTCGGGTTTGTAACCTGTAAAAAAATCGTTAAATTACCTTACGCTCCAACTAAATCTAAGAGCAAATAATTTCCATCAGCTGCAAATTTTTAAATATTTTTAAAAGATTTATTTTTGTTTATTCTGTTTGAAAACAAATTGAAAGTTGCCACAGTAAAAATTGAATTCCTGGAGCTGCCACAGCTGCTCATTTATCCAGCGGCAACAATAGTAAATAAGTCGAGAACTGCATAACAAAAAACAGGCAACAACACAACGCACTTAAAAGCGTAATGGACGAAGCGGAAATACTGAATTCCGATCAGGAAGCCAGGGGTCAGGAAATCAACTGAAAAAGTGCCAACAAAAAATCGCAAGAAACGGAGAAAGAACAACAGAAATAATAAACTGAAATAATATATATATATATATTTATATATATAAAAAAACGATAAAACACTATGCTGGCTATAAAATGCATGATAACAAAGCGAATGCATTGGCTAAATTATGCGTGATTTTTTGTTGGGGCCATTGTGACCAACAGTTTTGGTTTATGGCAACTTGCATAAGTTATAATTTAATACATTTCCATGAAGTTATCACTAACGGCTTAAGGATATTATCCTGAACAATTAATGATGCGTCACCATCGAGCACTTTTAATCGCTTTAAATGTTTCAACATTCTGTGAAGGACCAACTTTTGCTCTTAGTCCCACATTTGTTAGATGTGCTTTAAAAATGGCTGTGCGAGCGGTTTACCGTTGGGTGGGTGGTTTAGAGGCGGGAAAGTCTTTGGTCACGTGGTCTCTCCATAACACAATTAGCAACAACAAGTTGCATTAAAGCGGCTTCTAACTTTCATTAAAAACCACTTAACCCATGCCATGAGAGTGAGTGTGAGAGGCTGTAAGCCAACCCTTCTAATACTTGACCCACCCACTTGACCCACATGACCCACTGCAGCCAACAAAAGCAGCAACGTGGCTCATGGAAGCTGCCACAGCTGAAGTTGGCTAGTTGAGAAAAAGCAGGGGGCGGCGGAGGTGGCTTAGCAAGCTTAGTGTAGGCGTGTCTGTTGCGTGTGTGTGTGTGTTGTGTGTGTGTGGTTTGCATCAGCACATCGTTAGTCATATTTTTTATATGGCAAAGTTTTGGGTAAACATCAAGAAAGACCAAAAAAAATACATATATATATATATATATATATATATGTATACTTTTTTTAATTAAATAAAAGAGCATTGTGTGGTTTCTGTCAAAAGTGTTGCATACTTATGTGGACAGAAGTTAACGTAAGCCGAGCATTTCATTAAACAAGTTCTTTAAATAACTATAAATAAACTTTCTTCTCAAATGTGAATAGTTCTAATCGATAAGATTTGCCTGGTACACAATTTATGGCTTGTAATCAGCCGAAGTAGCTTAAAATATGTAAATATAATATTATTTATATATGTGCATCTTAAAGGCAATCTGCGCCAAGCTAAAGAGTTCTTTCGACTGGTTACAGGACCAATATTTCTACACATGCCGTAGACAAATTGATTTTGATCGGGTCGTGTGGGCTTATTTCGATTTCGTTACGACTCTTGTTTTCTTTTAATTTTTCCTTGTGCAAACAAACAAAACTGGGTAAAAAGCGGCTAAAGTTGTGAAATGGCTACACAGACAAATAAAAGTTACGGAGGATTGAGGGGTTCATTCGAGAGTGGCATATTAGCTGCGGGGCACTGCAGGGAAACTGAAAAACTTTGCCGCTACTTTCTTGCCATGTTTTTTTCTTCTTTTTCTTCTTTTTTTTTTTTTTGCTTTTGGTTTGACTGTTTCCTTTTAATGCCAAAGCGTGAAAACAAAACTTTTTTCTTGGTGCTTGCCATATTTAAACGGCGACACTAATGGCCCGAAATTGAAATGGAATATTTGTATTTGTGCAAATATTTTGCCAACACAGAATGGTAAAGAAAAGAGAAAACTTTATAGAATGGGCGCTGTATGAATCAGCAACAAACTTGTATTTGCCAAGAAACTGAAATCGACTTTTGATCTGTGTTGAAGCTGAAATTAAATATCAAGTTGCTACCAGTAAACTTGTTTAGAAATTCGCGAATCTGTATAATAAATATATAATATTGAATCAGAAAACAATTTTTGCTTTCTATTTGACGATGCTTTAATACTGATTTAAAAAGCATCAATTGATTTTTATATCGATTGCGCAATGCTTTAATATTTTTATTTTAAATATTGCTATTTTTTCGGAAAAAAATTAATTAACAAGCAATAGAATAAACTATATTGTCAATATCATTCCCGTTTACCGATGCTTATACAAATACAAATATTTGTTTATCTTTATCTGTACTTTGTAAATATAAATGACTAAAATAAATACATTTATTATTATTTGGTAACTAATAATAATGTAGTCCAACTAACAAAAGTTCGCCATTAGGCTCAATGAATTTAAAAAAAAATGAAAAACAAGAATTGCTATTTGTTTGTGCGACCCAAATAGAATTCATTCCAATTCAATGCAGTGCAATATTTCCGCAAATGAACAAACAAACAAACAAACAATTCAACTAGCAACCAGAGCAATAACAATAACATTTTGTGCATTTCGGCGAATTTCTGGCAAATTATGCAGACTGCAAAAGGGGAGGAGCACGAATGCTGATGCCAGTATCATGATTAAAATTACTAATTGAAATGCTCTGACACTGGCGCGGAAATGAAACTGAAAGTGAATTCACGTTTTTGTTGTGTGATAGTGATAGTTGTATAATTAAACAATGACATAAAAATCTGAAATAAATGAATGGACTTTTAACCTGCTTTTGTCCACATAGAAAATGTTTGTAGAGTTGAAAATTCTCTGCATTTCAAGTAAGGCGATGCTATGCAGATTTTGGCCAAAACGTTGCCAATTGTAAGGAGCCAAAAATATTTTTGGGAAAATATTGAGGTCACCAATGCATTAGAAAGTGCTAAAGTGCGTGTGTGTGCGTGTGTGAGTGAGAGGAGAAAGGGACAGAGAGAGAGAGTGAGTTTAAGTGTGTAAATGTCATAAATATTGCAGCAAAGTTTTGCCCTCAACTGATTGCAAAATGCCCAAGTACGGTAAACAAAGTTTTGTGGCTATCGGCACTGGCAATCGATAGTTTGGCAGGCAGCCGCCACACACAAGCACCGAGACTGACCGGAGATAGCCAAAATGGTCAGCCAAGCGGACAGACAACCAGACAGCTAGCCAAGTTGGCCCGATGCGTTTAGACACATTCGATATCACGATATGCACAGCCAGCACCCGCACATATTGCCAAGCTCAGTTCCCTGGCAAGGCAATACGGGCAGTACAAATATTTGGCTCGCATAACGTTTTTACATTAATTGAATTTGTTCGCTGGCAGCCGCCTTTAGTTTCTGCTTGACAATTTAGCACTTGCGGTTCTTGTGGTCAACACTGGCAACAATTTTGCAATTGCAAGCCAAAAACATTTCATGCAAATTAAAATCAAAGCACTTGCCAACTGGGAAGATTTACTGGAAAGGTATGACAAGTGCTTATGGGATATAAAAATATCTTACACATATTTTACTAATTGCTAGAAATGCAACAAAAACCTGCAAGTGAAATATAAAAATATAAAGAAAATATTTTGATGGCAAACGAAAACAGTTGATTATATTTTGCCATATATAAATAACAATGTTGCCAAGTTGCTGTAAAAATATGTAGAAGATAAACTTTTTACTGAGTAATAACTAAATGATATTAAAAGTGCCCAGCAGATTAAATACAGGCAATTTGAAAATGATAAAATTTAAAGAACATTGCTGTAAGTTTAACTTGCCGCTCATAATTCTTGGCCCAATTTTCGTTAGACATAAAAAATTAACCGTATAAAAAGAAATACCTTAAGCAAGGATACGGTTGCAAAGAATGCCTTTTTGCATTCTTAACACCACCAAAAATGTATATATATATACATATATTTATATACATATGTAAATGTGTGTATCCAGT